TATGAGTGAAGTAGGTGCCAGATCACATTCCGGAGGCCGTTGAATGAGAATGCCGCAAGCAAGTGATCCGAAAGCATTAGTATGATCAAGAAAAGTTAAACGGACGATGTCAGCCCCTTTATCCAATGGGGACTAAACGGACTGAAACACGCGAGCAACAGTATCAAGAGTAGAAAGCGAATGTTTGTAGGCCAAACTGAATAGGGTCATGGGTAATAGATGAAAGGGTCAGACGGTTAAGAACTCAATCGAAAACTTTCAGGAATGTTGATGTGCAAGCAATCGGTCGGTATTTGGAGGATCTTTATATGGAGATTGGTGTTATTCTAGCAGTTCACCAACAATCAGGGATGCTTCCAGATGACATACAAAAATTGAAAAACTCGGAAATAGAGGAAGCAAATTGTTCAGCATACTCTTTCATCAGGAAGAGGGACAATGAATCAGGGCCATGCGCTTTGTTAGATTCAAGGCACTTCCGTGCATTCATGACTTCCACAAAGACGACAGATTGTTTCTCCCAAGTGAATGTAAATAAAGTCAGTGTTGAGTTCCGTACACTAGCATTTGCGAATTGACGGTTTAACTCCTTCACATCGAGGAAAGAGCTGTTGCGTGATCCACAGAGCTGCTTCAAGCTAGACCACATATCACGGCAGTTTTGGTTTCCCATAAGCGTATATGTTGACACATATTTTTGATAATAAGTAGTATCTGAATGACTGTACAAAATTTCTCCGGAAGCACACGACCGGTTTCGCGGTTCTTGCCGCTTGGCAGGCATGCGAGTACGGTAATCTTTTGCCAGTTCATTCATATATTTGTACCCAGGAGATGTATTTACATCAAAATAAGCTTCTTTGCAACACCGGGTGACCATTGGATAGATATCTGGATAGAGATCAGAACCAGTCCAATGAACAGTCTAATGTACAGTCATTCATATTCTAATTGTTATCAAATATTTCGCCATGACCATCAGGTCATGTTTGTGGCGGTTAGTAACATCTAACCCACTTGCAAAACATCCAATCATAGCATTGATTCTTCATTGGGCTGGCCCTGGCAAGCGGCAAGAACCGCGAAACCGGTTGTGTTTCCGGGAAAATTTTATACAATAATTCGCATACTATTCATTATCATACATATATATACATATATATGTATATGTATACTAAAACAGATATATCTATCTATCTGATTTAGTAGCGGCAGTTAGATGTTTTTATTAATAGTGATATGTTTGACAGCACTGCGACTTCCAGTCCAGTAAGTCTTTTCTTCATCAAGACGAAGCCGTTCTAGAAGAAGTGGAGGACTTTTGCAGTTCAAACATAAATTCTCAACTAGACAACACAGGTCACAGGAAAATTCGAGATAACATGTAAGGTGCTTACAAGCGAAAGGGACAGTAGCATTGCAAAAGACAGTGGAATCGGTAGAAGAAACTATATCTCCAAGTTTGGATAAGTTGTCAGGAGTGCGACTTTCACTTCTGATCACTCTAGACGTGGAACAGTTCATTCTGCAATGAAAATATCTAATGAAAATATTGGGATGCATAAAATAGAGCAATATTCGGAGGTGACGATGGGAGCCCGCTTCCCAATAAAAAAGATTTCTCGGCTATTTACAAAAATCTCATCAAATCGGACACCAAGCCGAGTAGGAAAATGTATAAGATTTCTCAAGCCTGAAGTTCTAAGGTCACTTCAGTTCAGTTTGAACAACCATTAACCACGCATATTCGAGCGCCGGTTTTGGTTGCTGTCTTTTGGCTGCCCATTGGGATGAAGAATAGGAGAAGAAAGTAAGTTGAAAGTGGAGTCTAAAAGAAAATGGAGAAGTTCAGTGGACTAAGGTTGCAAAGAAATTGAGGAGATGCACGAACGCCACTGTTTACGCCACCCAGCCATATCACATTCAGTGTAGCTAA